ATTATGCAAGTCAACCTCACAATCTCAAACACGTTCAACAAACACTTACATCAAAATTTTGACATGAGTAGAATAGCTTTCAATAATCTTTTCGGACAACGACGAATCCGGGAAAGCTATTCTACACATGTCAAATTTTGATGTAAGTGATTGTTGAATTGTTTTTTACATAATCGAAAATCTTGGTTAAATTTGGGTTGAATTTTAAGTGATTCATTTAAAGTTTTGAATTTTGGTTGAAGTTTTGGTTAAATTTTGATAGACTGAGGCATGTGCCACATATGAAAATGGTGGGATGAGGCTATGATGGAGGAATTAACCTAGTTGAGGTTCGAGATGCATGATATTTCTACATTACATAAAATGAGTTATTGATTTTCACGTCATCGGTATACGGAAGGGCTATATTGCAGGTGACTTTTGATATTGTGGTTTGACCTGCATTTATTTGACATGGAGGTTTGTCTTGCAAAAAAAAAATTACATGGAGGGTTTTTTGCAAAAACCCCTTATGTTTTCAAACAGAGTTATCGAATGTCACGTCATCGCTACATGGGAGGGTAGTATTGCAGGTGACTTTTGAGATTGTGAGGTTGACTTGCATAATTCGGACTTGGAGGGTAAACTTGCAAACGAAATTGACTTCGAGAGTTGTTTTGCAGAAAACCCTTCAAAATATTATAAATATTTAAACTTTATTAAACGGTAAATATTATAATTATTTAAACTCTTATAAAGTTAAACTTTATAAAACGTTTTAAATATTTATAAAACTATAACTTTTATGAAGTTTCAAATATTTTAGATATTGAACTTTATAAGAATTTATAAGGAGTTTAAACATTATAAATATTTATAAATATTTAAATTTATAAACATTTAGACTATTTATAATATTTAAGTTCTATATAATATTTGAACTCTAATAAAATTAATATATATATATATATATATATATATATATTATGGGAACTAGTTAATGCAAACTTTTAAATTGAGTCGAACTATATGTCTTTTAAATAACAAATATTATTAAAAAAATAACAAAATGCTGTTTAATTTCACGGGACGGGGTTATATGGTGGGACGGGTTTGGGTCGATTTTAATACGGGACGGTATACCACATGAAATCCTAGAATTAAAAATAAAAATATAATTATATAATCTTAAACACTAAACAAACCAAATAATATTAATAAAACAAATATAATTTAAAATTTAAAGTTTTTAGTTTATAAAATCTACTCGTAATGTACCGCGGGGTAAAATTTTTAGATACAAAATAAAATTTAATAAAATAGAAATTATTATATAAAATATATAAAATACAATTTTGCGCGGGTTAAATTCTAGTTTCTTACATATACCATATATATGTAAGAAATTTTATATATATATATATATATATATATATATATGTATATATAAGTTAATATATTTATTAATTTATGATATTGATGTGACTATACATTTGTATAAAATTTTCAAAATAATAATTATTTTATCGAATTGTGTAAATTATTACATCGTACCCAACTCAGGAAATAAAAAATTGATTTGTTCATAATTAGTACTAATAATTATTACTTTATCAAATATTAATTTATAGAATTTTAACTGTAGTGATTTTTTTGGTTGTTGATATTTACGTTGAAACTTGACTGAATCCACATATTCTTGATTTTTGACTATTTTGCTCATTGCAAGTGTTTTTTTGAAATGTATAAAAAAATTTACATGAGCAAAAATCTTCTCTAATCAATTAAAGTTTATGTTTAGGATATTTGTGAACATATAACATGTGACTAAATCATTTTTAATTTATTGGTGTCAAACGACAATTTAAAGTTTTAGGAATTAAAACATAATAATAGATTCTTTAGAATAAAATTAGTTTGATTTTTATGAATTGAGTTTAGAACAGTGTTTAACTGTTTTCTTGTTTATCTTTTTTTTTAAAAAAATTCTTGAATTCATGCAAACTTTTTTTTATGTCAAATGCATTTAATTCATATATGCAAATCATTTATTTTCTTCATTGCTTTCATTCACTTGCAATTTACTTTTGTTTTAATTTAGAATAGCCGAAACAATATTTCGTATTATTTAATCTCAACGCTCACATACTTTTAATTTTTTTTCTTTTTTTCTGATTTTTCGGTTTTCATGGATTCCACCTCTCAAGTTCTACTACGATTGTACAATGCTTTTTTAGTTTGCTTTTGGGTTAAAACCTGATAAGCTATCAAAATATTTTGTTTCATATTTCTAGTGAAAGCATGTGTTTTAGTTATGTTACATTTATATTTTATTATGCATCATCATATATTAGAAACATTGATTTAACCACTACAAGGTGGGCTAGTGGTAGGATGGATTTTGTGGTTGAGGGGGTAATCCCAATACGTCCGGGTTCGATTCCTCCTTGCTACATACTAGTGGTCATCATGGAATTTACATGCGGATTTGCTCTGGCGTCCGAGACCGAAGACTGTTACCTGGCCATGACCCACCCTCGGGTATGCGTCCGTGCCGTAAGGGTTCGGTTTCTAGTCTGGACCACCTCGGTGGAGCTAGGACACTCGGTTATCAAAAAAGAAACATTGATTTTTTAAAGATAATTCACACGATAATTCGTTTCACTGAACTCTCTATTTCCGATTTAATTTGAATCAATGCGTTTATGCGTTATTCTTAAGTGGCATGAATAGCATGATATATTTTCATTTTCCAACAAATTATAATATTAACTAATCATTACATCCGTTACTTTCTTTTAGACACATATAATCCACACAATGTTATACCTACACAAATGACGTGCTTCGACCAAATATTCTGTTTCGATTTTATATATGTAAGTCAATACGTTACTCTGAATTGTCAGTAAACAACATATACATCCAACAAATGATAATACTTCCTTTGTTTTAATTGAAGTGTCATTTTAGAATTAATTTTTTAATAATAAGTATTGTTTTTATTCTATAATTAATATCGTTTTAGGTTTTCAGTGCAGATTTTTGATAAAATCTATAGTTTTTTCCTCACTTTGTTTTAGTGTATTGACTTATAAAATATAATAATAACAAGTTATAACAAAAAAAATTCTGTAACCAAACTTTAAACAACCCTTCAATTAAAACGGAGTGAGTATGAAGTATTTATTACATACGTTACATGTTTTATTTAAACATAATTCACACAAAGACATCACGTCGTGGAAGCCCCCTTGGCCCATTGGTTGAACAAGGATTAATTAATGTTTCTACACCCATAGGTCTGGGGTTCGAGTCCCAGATACTGCGATTTATTAATAAATTTGCAGATTATTGGAGGCAAGTGTGCAGGAGATCTCCAGCGATGTACAATTATAGCCGTTCGCCAGGATTCTACGCAGAGAGAGAAGTGTCCATCAAGTGCATAAAGAAGGAGGTGAAGGAGGTGAGTATGAAGAAGAAGGTGAAGAAGGTGTCATCTGTCGTGGATCTAATAAAAATCGGAAGGAATTGTCCGTTGTAGAATCGTCTATGTAACAGTTCTCATAATTTGCAATAAATAATAAATCCAGATGTTAAAAAAAAAAAAAAAAGACATCATGTCTCCCAATTCTTAATTTCCGATTTAAATTGAGTTAATGTGTTAAAAATATTTTAAAATTAGCATGATGACATTTAAGTTTTTGTTCTATTTATTCTAGGTAATCATTGTTTCCGTTACAAATCTTCGAAAATATTTTTCTGCCTTCCCTCGACAACTTCGCATCGAAAAAACACTCCAACGGAGCCCAATCGTTGCCTAGGGAGTCGAGCTTTCTCTCTCGCGTGCAGACGACTATTTAGATCTAGATCTAGTTTTTCCTGTTCTTTGAGCTTCATCGCTGGCCGCCGGCTTGCCTTTCGAGAAACAGTGGTGAGGCGGATTCCATCTCCGTCAATGGGTGTGGTGTCTTCTCCGGCGATGTAGCGGTTCCTCTGGTTTGGCGGTGGAGATCTCTGTGCGCTAGGCCTCGGTTAAGGACGCTGGTGGCTGTATAGGAGATCCCCAAGGCTCAGCCGGCAAGCTTGACGGAGCAGCTACGGCGGAAGTCGTTGGGGGAGCGGTGGGTTATATTGTTGCGTTTGGTAGTTAACGACTAATCCCGGCAAGATTGGTTGGCTACCGCGGATCTCGGGTCTAGAGGGTCTTAGTGAGCCGTTAAGCCTCTTGATCCGCCGTGGTGGTGTCTACTAAACCGAATTGATGGGTTTTTGTCTCGGAGGAATTCGGAGCTTCCGGTGGTGGTTTGGGAGGTTAGATCCCAGTTTGTTGGTTGCTTGGCATGTGACCAGACAACGTGGAGCCGGTCGTCGGGGAGTTGCGCATACCGGGAAGAGTGTGGTGGGTTTGGTGCGTCGGCGGCGTGAATTTGTCGGAGGGAACCGGATTCTCCCACCGTGTTTTTCATGTCTCCGATGCTGCCACAAAGCTGTCCTCTTTGAATCCACCGGAGATTGTGCCGCTGACTCTTTCGCCTCCGGTCGTCAGCAAGATCCGAGTCTCGAACCGTCGCCGGCGTTAGGTTTCCGTTTTCCTTGTTTTTGTAACTGTGGTTTCGTTTGTAGGCCCAAAAGCCCAAGCCCGTTATGAGATTTATTAATATAATTTCAGTAAAAAAAAAAAAAAAAAAAAAAAACACTCCAACTTTGTACCGAAAATACTTCAATACTTACCCATACACAGAAAAAAAAACATCATTTACCAAAAAAAAAAAAGTTTGTGACCAACTTCATATTGCTAGTTTCGTCCAAATATTTTGGCCATCTACCAAATTAAGTTAGTTAACCCTTAGAATGTATATTTATGCTTAAAAGTTTTCCACATTATATGATATAATTGCTCATTTCTTTCAACTAAGTCAATTAATTTACGACACCAAAAAAAAATTTACGACACCATTTTTAGGCTAGTGATATTATATTACTGCCTCATCTACATATACTCTCACTTTTCTAGAAAATATCACAATATTGACTTGACCTTTCACTAAAAAAAATAAAAAATAAAAACAGAGAATCGAAATAGATAAAGGACAACAAACAGATAAGCTAAAAGAAAGGAACAAAACACTTACTTTTTCTCCCGTCGACTAAAAAAATACTGTATCATTAATTTTCTCGAATTAAAAGCAAAAAAAATAAACATTAATTCGCGCGACGAAAAATTAAAATTATATTTTTTTAGAACGAAAAAAAAAAACTTATGAACAAAGAAAAAAAAAAAAAAAAACTTCATTGCAATTATTGATCATCATCATCATCATCATCATCTTCTTCCTCAATCAGATCTGATAGTGCAAAACAACTCCGAGACTTGTAAGCTCTGCTCTTGAAAGATCCTTTCCTTGCAACAACTTTCTTAACTCTACCTCCTCCTTCTTCATCACTCGATGATTTATTCTCATCAAACCCAGATTTCAGATCTTCTTCATCATCATCATCATCATCATCATCTTCATCTTCGTTTACTGGTAACAGAGGCATAGATTTAGGGTTTTGCCATGAATAAAACGATTTTCTTGCTAATTTATTACAGATCTGTAATCTTCTTCTTTTATTCAATGGATTCTCTTGTTTTGCTACTTCTTTAACACTTCCAATCTCTCCTAAATTCCCAAATGATTTTGATTTCCCTTTGTAATGATTCGATAACCCTCTCCTGCAAGTAAATTCAAGAACCCTAAAAAAATTTAATAAAAGAAAAAAAAAACCTAAAGAGACGATTTTTGGAAAACAGAGAATGAAGTTTACTTTGAGGGAAGGGAATCTTCAAGAGAGCTCATTGAAGCTAACCCTCGAAGCCCTAGCTCCTTTGATGAAACGTCATCGTTTTGTTTTTCGTCTTCGCTTTCTTCTTCGTCTTCTTCGCTATCTCCTGGAGTTCCGATTGAAGAACTATCCGATGAGTAATCCGCCGTTTGTCCTGACCAAATTCCACTTCCGGGACGACTTAGACCAGATTCTTCTACTCCTTCTTCGTTTGTGTCTCGAAAGAGGAAGAGGAAGAT